CCTTTTTTAAATTTTAATTTATTTAACTTTATTTATGTATGTACATATGTACATATATTTGGTCAGCTTTTAATCTTATAATTATTGTTGTTTTTCTTTACTCTACTTTGGCATGAAAATCACAATTCTCTTCTTATCTCTGAATTAAATATTGTTAATTTTATTTACTAAATTAGTCTACTGCACACATAAGCGTAATTAAATTATTTGCTAATTTGATAAAAAAAAAACATATGTTCATATGTACATAAACTCAAGTGCATGTATGTATGTGTGCAACTACATTGTCATTTCGCTAATTGGATTTGATAAGGCAAAAAGTGTCAGAAAAAGCTGATTTCCATTGGATTCCAGAGCTTTGAATGAATATCAAATAACTAAAATGTGGCAAAACCTCAGATGGTCTGCATATACGAGGCCTGTTCAAGAGCTTTAGTGTGCTCTGCGATTTTTGACTTTTGAAAAAAAAAAGCTTTTTATCGCCCAGGAGTTATTCAGTGACGTCAACGACAATCCAGGTTTGCTCGAAAAGGTCATAACTGGTGACGATAGCGGATAGCGGATGAGCCAAGACTGAAAAGCTATAATTCACCATTTCTTTTGAACAAATCAAAGGCGAGGGGTGGCTAATGAGTTCGTGGCCTAAAATACTTAATGAAACAATGCTTAGTTTTATGTTGTTGTTGTTTTTTTTTTTTAATCTAGTCTCCCTCAAGTGAAATACACTTTTTCACATCGCGAATACAATGCCTTTATAGAACTGTAAAAATATTCTCCAGATTTTTCTTCATAATGGTTTTCTTCGGCCGCTTTCATCTCACTGTCGTCTGAAAGTCTTCATCACAGGTCCATACAGTAGGGTGGATGATCAGTTTCTGTAAATCCAGTAGCTTTAAGGACATCAGTCGCAACCTCTAGCGGTGTGAATGTCTTAAAGAAACAGCCTCACGCGCCTGACTCAACAAATTAGCGTAATACTGGCAGATCATTGAAGCTCCTTTTGACAAGTAATCAACTAACAATATTCCCTCGCTATCTCAGAAAATAGTAGTCATAAGCTTCGACGCCGACTTTTCCACTTTGAATTTTTTATGGAGCCATCTCACCTTTTTTTATCCTCTGCATCCACTTCTGTTTGGACTCGTGATCATACTGACAGTTTCATCAACTGTCAAAAATATCTTTATAACTCTCCAATCGTCGCCCGGGGTCAGCTTCACAGGTATTACTTTCTTTTTGAAACGGTCCTATCATCTACTTGTTTCGTTGTTTGGCGCCAGCTTGAAATACCAAATGAAGCCAGGTCTACCCATCCTTTTAAGCGAAAGGAGGTCTTCCTCTTCCTCTGTTCTACCGAGACGGATTGCATCGAGTACTTTCAAAGCTGTTTCCTTCCCTCTTTCATATGTGCCACTGTCTAACGACCTGAGAATTTTGTGGCGGTTCAGTACTTTGGTTAGTTGTAAAAGTGAGAAAAGTCAGAAAGGCAACATTTTGTATCTAGACAAACGGTATCAATATCTTCGCCAGACGAAAACTGTATATCAATCGCTCAGGTAATTCATAGTACAACTATTCAAACCTGGGGTAATGAGGAGCACTAGTTCAAAGACTTCTAACAGGTCCAGTGCTTCCAGGGCAGCTCGCGCACTGTGTAAATATTGATTAAAGCTAGAAGTTAACTGGAAGATAATGACTTTAAGTGATGTTGTCGTTGTAGGGCCTTTGGCGACTTAAGATTGATTAAACCTGGCCCTAAGAGGTGGCTTTAAGTGCTGATATGGAGCTGTGAACTCTACGGAAGTCATGCTGATGAGCTGCTAGACTTACAGAATTAAAGATAGCATCAAGATAGAAGAAGCGAAACCACTCACCCCGATTCCACATATTGTTAGAGTGGTCAGAATCAGGCTGAGAACTTGGCGAGAATCCTTTTATCTGAATTTCCGTTTTGTGCAGTCAATTGAAGGGCTACCTGGTCATCATAGCTTGGGGTTTTAATGGAAATGTGACGGTGGCTCAAAGCTTGGTAGCACCAGGGTAGAGGTTAAGTATGGTGACTTACAAGTAGCCGAGTAGACAAATTAAGTTCACTGATTTGGTAAACTTTGTGATCTACCTGTCATAGACAATCTCGCCGGGATACCAGATTCACCGTAAAGGTGAGAGTTTTACGCATATTTTGTTTTCACTAACTAAGAATTCATATCCTATTTATCTTGCTTGATTATATGATGATTATAAAGTGTTCCTTACAGTAATCAATTCCAATTAAAAAGTTTTTTATTTACATATTCGATCCCTTCCATAAGAAGTCTGATGAGGAGACTAGCTTCTACCTTTTTTCTTTGTTTTATAACAAAATATTGAATTCATACAAACAAACCAGGCCTTTCGTTTACTTAATACTTATAACAAAGAATATTATATATTAATATAGACTGCTTTAACATACGGAGCATAGCAATAAGTATTAAAATCTTAAAACTAAAACAGCTTAAAACATATCAGCCCATTAGCAGGAATAGAGTGCTGAATTCATGGTGCTCTTATCTTCAAAAAAGTTTGACTTATTCCAGAAGTATAAGCCAAATGGTTGAGATAATTACACAGTTTTGCTACGTACTTTTACGTGACGAATTCTACCTCTTTTTAGAAGGAGTTTATGTTTAAGTTATTTCATGTATCGATATAGTTCTTAGAATAGTATTCCATACGACCATTTCGTTTCAATATTAGCGTTGTAGAGCGTAACCTAGTTATCCAGACTGCGCCTGCAGTGTCTCCTTTTCATGTAGGTAGGTGCTAAGATATATAATTTCGTCAGCTTGCTGAATATGTACATCTCTGAGCTCGACAGCTGTTCCATTTAATGCCATCATCTGAAAGCTACTTTTTGCAGGTTGTAAAAGTATTCACTATGAAATCGCACATAAGAGAGATGGATACAGGTTGTAAAAATTAAAAAAAAAATTTCTAACAATATTAAAGATTACCTTGGTTACTTCTCTAACTGTGCACGCATAATTCTTGACCATTTCAAATAATGCCAGGATTATTTGCAGATGGATGTGTCTTTTTTTGAATCAAATTCATTTATAAACTTTCCATTTGTCATGTCCAATTGGCGAGCGATTTTTTTTCACACACTCTAATACACAGCAAATATTACCAACATAAGTAAAAGAGAATGAGAATGATAAAATAAAAACAACATATATTTTACACATTTAAATGTACTTTAAAAAGCTTGGTGACGCTTAAATTCAAAGATAGTTGCAATAAACAAAATTTTACGGTTCAGTACAATCAGCTGTTTATTGTTTACCTTCACCTTGGCTGTGTTCACTGAAATTGTAGTTCACCACAGCGACTGTTCCAATTACACCACTCATTGAAATAAGGGATGCCAATACTCCATGTAAATCAACTCTCAACAAATTGAAAATATATTGTTACGATTTTACTAAATCAACCTCGATGATTTTCTGAATCCTTCGGGTACGATCTCTGGATTGTTAAATAAAACTCACCAACTTAATTTGCAGTTTCTTTCGTTACAAAGAATTTATCTAATGTCCTTTATTTACTCAGTAATTCACAATCCAATTACAAGGCACTTTACTAGCTACAATCACTTGCATCAACTTTCACAATTTACTCTACTTAAATGCAATTCCCAACGCGTTCACTTTACGACTTAACTGATGTTAACGCCAACGAGCTCACTTTGTAACTAACTTAACCTGGCAGCTGAATACTGAGTGTCCCCTTATATAGCAGTCGGCTGCTCGCAGACGAAAGCGTAGAAGCATCGATTTGTTCGCTATCGAAGGTTCTTGTTTTATCGTTTCTAGAATGTACTAGTTATCGGCTTCTCTCTTTCATCTGACATTCGCCTCGCATTTTCGCAACAATATCTATATTATGAAGAAATATTCAATGTCAAAATGTACTTTTAACAAAATATTACAAAAAAACCATTAGCGGGATATTTGTCTTTCCTAGCTATAGAAGTCCGGATACCCAGGAATGCGAGCAGCTGGATTCTCGCTCGATACTCGTTAATTGCTCAAAGCTCAAATGTTTATTTGGAATTTTTTCAATTTTCCTAGTCAAAATTTCTTGAACTTTGCATAAAAAAATTTAAAATTATAAAAAAATACTAAGAACTGTCAAAAATTTTGAGCCAAATGCTTCGTAAAGCTCGAATTGCTAAAGCCCAGGTACAAAAAATTTTAGAGTAATGAACAAAATATCTTGCGATCTAATTCATAGATTTCCTCTGAATATTTTTGTTCATCGTTTTAAAAATAAAAATATTTAAAAAATTTCATTGCACTTTACAAAATGGCAACCGTCAAAATTTTTGTTTCTAGAAAATATATTTTTTTAGCTCCGATATGTGCACCTGCCCAAAGTAATGGAAGTTCTGACAGGCCACTGTCTGATAGCATAACACGCGGAGAGACTAGAGGCTCTCTATAGAAGTTATTGCCGAAGCGTCGCGGATGATGAGGAGTAGAAAACGATCATTCACCTATTATGCTATTATCTTGCTATGGACAGGACTAGGTTTCAAAATTTACGTACCTCTTTCCACGAACGTGGCAGGTAGACCTCATATATTTTCGCTGCTAGAGATAAGAGAGTTGCTGGTCCATACAAGTAGCGAGATCACTCACCCGGTTTCCAATTATCGGGTATAGATCGAGTTTGGGTAAAGGACCTAAGCGAGAAATCATTATCGTTTTGCCAGTTCTTAAGCGTAGTTTGCTTTAACGGCGAGGCTTTCCGTTTCGTTCTGCCAACTGGAGCGCACAGTGTCGGTTGAAAAAGCTCGCTCACCTCAAACGATTGGGGGTCACCGGTTTAGGTCTCTTGAAGAAATCGAAATGAAATTTTATACATCAAAAAATATACTTAACCGAGCACATGTAAGTTCACACTGTAACAATCGAGTAAGCGTAAATGTTTCCATAAATAGTTGTAACAAAAAGTTGTCGCTCACAGACAGAAAAAAAGCAGAAAAAAATAAAAAAAATATAAAAATTTTTACAATATTTTTTTAAATACGTATATCTTTATACATATGTACGTCTAGCTGACCTTTGGCATTCAAGCAAAATTTTTAACGATTTATTTCGAAAGTTAAACTAACCGCCATATTTTTGGACAATTCACTGATTGCCATTGGAGTGTTTGATCATCAAGTGTGTATACAGTAATAAAGATTTTTTCTCGCCCAAAGCCGTTAAGATGATTGAAGTAGCAGTTCTACCCTGGGAGAAGATCGACTGGAGCGATGAACGTGTGCAGAAAATCTACCTAGATTGGGGTATATTCAATACTCACAAGCAACAGTTGGATATAGCGGCGAATTACTATGACAAATCATTGGCACTCAAGGCGGATGATGCGCGCGCATTATTATATCGCAGTTTGTGCAAGCGTGATATTGCACAGACCCAAGGCGCACTGGAGGATGCGCTGGCGGCGTTGGGTGAGTGGTTTGTGTCCTTCATTAGTTTCAGATCTAAGTGCACGAATGATTGAGCACAGTTTAGTCTTCATTTTCTTTCATCTCTTAGTGAAAAAGTTTTCCACTGAGCTTGCTCCAAATTTGCTGGGCTCCATCCACCACTCGTTTCGAACTCACCTAATCTGTAATTTTTCTTTTTTCACTTTACAGAGGTTGAGCCCCAAAACGCAGTGATTAATCAGGAGATCTGTGAGGCATTGCACGAGCTGAATCAGTTTGAAAATTGTAAATTGGAATTGCATAATAATTCACGAAAGTATATCGGCAGAAAGGCTTCGCGATTCATAAATAAACTGATTGTGGTAAGCCAAATTATATACTCTATATACTCAGCAGGTAAATATATTAGCCAAATTATTCTTTGAGGTCGATGAAAACTTCAACGACACCGTCGGCGATACATTGAGTCCCTTCATTTTGAGAAACGAGAAAATTTTCGCTGATGTTTTGGCTTATTTGGAACGGGAGAATTTCGTCGATCCGCGTCCATTATGGAAAATCCTAAATGAGCAAAATAAATGCGATGTGCTGAGCATACTTGAGAAGGAGGTAACCAAATCTTTATTGTAAAGGAAAAACTAAAAAATTATTGCTACACTCGCTTTCACAGGAAGTGCTGCTCTCTCCGCGTGAGGTCGCACGACGCGAACGTGCTTTCCGGGTCTTCAATCAAATATACTACAATAAGAGTTGGATTGATGTACTCTTTTTGAAGAGTCTACGTGAAAATCCCAATTTGCTATTGCCACAATACAAAATTTCTACACCATTTCTGCGAAATCTAGTCAATACCAAATACGATGTGGTGAAAAAATTTTTGGTAAAATTTTCATAGAAAATATTTTGGTGGATTTGAGTTTTAATTTATTTTATTTTCTTGCAGAAAATGCTGCAAGCACGTAGTCCGGTCTATACTGAACAATTGCGAAAATGTCCGAATAGAAAGACCTGGGAGGCTCAACGTCAAAAGCACTTGAACCATATACAGTATCAGACGCGTCGTAATATGCTTACGATATTACGAACTATACGACAATTGCGCGCAGCAGGCAAAATTAAAGTAAGTCAGCAGTGGGTTAAGATGTCGAAAGACATACACATTCCTACGCCCTCTATATCTCTTTCTCGCTCAAGGCAACAGAGAGTGACAAAATTAATGTAGCCAGAAAGTTTTTGGAAATTTTTTTTCGATATTTGCGGTTGGGTTCGTCATGAATTCACTCCAACGGGACAGACGGTCAATAAAGAGTATTAGGCGTTTGCTCGAAAACATTTTTCGTAAACGGCCGGAATTGTGGGCCACCAACTTCCGGAAACTTTCATGACTATAATGCACCATCGCACCGAGCTGTAGTTTTGAACGTTTCTAAGACCAAAAGCTCGTTCAATACCATCGATCAACAGCCGTGTGAGCGAGATTTGACCCCACGGCTTCTTTTTCTCATAATATTACCAAAACTGAAGTTACCACTCGTGGAATCCGTTTCGACACGATTGAGGCCGTACAAAAAAAATTCATAGAGGGAACTGAGATCGACTGATTTCAGGGAGCAATTTAAATTATAATTTCCGGAAACTTTCTGGTCTTAATGTGTTTTTCAAATAATAAGCTGGGCCGGAAAGGTTAACATGTATCAGAACCGGACGTTTTTTTGCTTCCGTCTGACTTGTGATCGAAAAAAATTCGAGCTATGAAATGCATACGTTCAGCAACCGAAAGCCCCTGATTCTAGAATCATGTAACCGAATGGGGTGACTAACCGCTATGGGTTAAGAGTTCGAGAATTTACCTTCGGCTACCGGTCGCAAGAGGCGACTAAAAATCAGTAAACGGCAAAGAACTGTCACTCCCGCAATATTCCCCGAAAGCCAATTTGGGTTACCATTTGCTGTTACTAACACAACAACAACAGGTGGAGAAAGAATATGTTTTAACAAATTCTGTGGCTTTTATCTAGTTCAGATCCACATTGAGAAACCCAACTAAAGAGCCTTACTACGCTCTTATAGATGTAAAACTTACATTTGTAGGGGCTAAGCTCCTTCGAAAGGGTTGACGTTAAGCGAGAAAAGTGGTTTGGGACTCATTGCGTGCGGAACTTTCTTTATTTTTTACAACAAACCCAGCGCTACTTTTGATATACCCCAGAGCTTTATGTCACCAAAATAATTCTGAGTCAACTGGATCCGATCGCTTCCAATTTAGAAGATACTCGGACTTTTGCGACGTTCTGATTCAAAAAAAGAGTGACAGAGAAGATGTTTTCGGATTCTCTGAATATCCGCTAACATAGTGTTCTATCTCCGGCGTTTTTTAGTGAGATCCAAAACTAATCTCGGATGTATTCAATCAACTGATTGTTAGACGTTCACGAGAATTGGTTTTTGGAAACGGAATTGGAGCGATCTCTTCAGGTGCAAACGCTGTTATTCTTCCAACGATTTCCCTTTACTTAAATACGTAAAAAAATGGTGAGTATATTCTACTCACATCCCTCTTTTTTTGATCAGTAAATGCTCTAAGTATTCCCAGCGCTATCCACTGTTCTTCGAGCGCATTGCTAGAGCTCAAAATAAGATCCCACATTTGTATTTCCGATAAAATAGTCTGCTGTTTCTTCAACCTCAGGCGATCTGCTAGAGTTTCTGAAGGATCTCGAAGTTTACTTACTTTCGGAAGGACCTCCAAGATTTTTGATTTGGGTATGAATAACGGGTTTCAAGTGATTGTCTCAACAGCTCAACCTTGATTTAAGCTGCAAATACAAATTTGTCTATTTCTTCTCCTCTCTCACCAGCAACTCGGTAAATATGTCGAAGAAGTTATGGGCGATTATGTTGTGTTGAAAACACATCGTGTAATGCCCTGGAAGTTTCAATTCATCAATGAAGTCTACAATACTTTGGCGCTCGCTTATGCTGACATATTCATGGAACCACCCGACATGAATGTACACTATGATGCGAAGAATCGTTTAATCAGGCTACTGAAAATGCCAATCGATAAGAATAAAGATCGCGTTATGAGATTTGTTTTTGGTGACAAATCCACCTATCAAGAGCCAGATGCAATTGATTACACACTCTTGGCCTATAAGTGAGTGGGAAGCCGAGAAATTCGTTCAAAAGTTATTTTATTCGAACTCTCAATTTTGCAGGAAATACTTGGCGCGCTTGGAGAAACGGATGCATTTCGCAAAATACTCGATCGAAAAGTGTTATTTGCTGTACGAAATCGCACAGAGCCATTTGACGCAGAGTCGCTTCGAAGAATGTTGTTCGGTGGCGCGCAAGGCAATTGAGGGTAAAGTTAAATGCTTTCCTTATTTGAGTGTGATATACATCACAGACATATCCTTCACTTTTGGTTGCAGAGACGAAGAATTGCAACAGCTATCTGTGGCGCTTCCTCAGCATTCTGCTCATTTGCAAATCTCATGCGGTGCTGCATAAAGTCGAACGTGGTCGCGACGCACTCAACGAGGCTTATGAATGTGCCGAACGGCTGAAATGCGACGAACTGATGCATTTCATAGATCTTTGTCGCGTTTCGGTCGAAACGGAAATATCTTTGAAGAAGCGCACGCAGTCTTTTGACTCGGTACGCAGACGCAAAAGTCGATTATCGGTTGGCGGTAGCAGTCATATGTCGCAATACTCTAGCGGTTCGGCGAATAACAATGCAGATGAGCGTAATGAAGAACAAGAACAAGAGGAGCAACAAGAGCGGCAGGTGACGGCGCGAGAATTCCAATAAACTTCTCTTACTCGTACATATTCTACTGAGTGTGAGTTTTGTAAATATTAAAATCGATAATTGTTTTATTTTCACTTTGTTTCAAGGGGTAGGGATAGATTCATCCAACCAACTCTCTAAAGTTTATTTCAGTCGATTTCATAGGAAAAGTTTTTTCAATGCATTGGTTGTGAATGATTGACATTAGCACATTGGTTTTTCGAGATCTCCTTTGAAGGGGATCGTTCAAACGTGCAAATACTTTGGATTCCGCGTATGTTTCTCAGTTCTAACTCCACGGATCGTGTGGTATCTGAACAAGCGCCGTTCAGTTGCTTTTCTGACATCATATATATGAACGAGTATATATTGTACATAAAATTGGTGATTTGTAGTCGCTTCCGGGTGAGGATACTCTCTGGGCGTGAGTGGAGAACAAATTTCGTAGGAGAGGAAAATACCATATCAATTTATGCCAACATGTCCGAAATGAACTACGGAGCAGGGACGTGGTTAGGAAGCTCTTTTGAACAACTACGCGGGAATGAAGTAAGCAATCAACAATTGCAGGAAAGCTATAAGCTCACTGGCTGGCAACTCTACTTATCCACAATCTAGATTCCCGGTCATAATGATAATTTAGGCTACCAAAAGGCAGACGAGTTGGCCAAGCCTTGATCTTCTCTCTTCTCGGGACGAATCCGGGACATAGTTAATACAATGTCCTCAAGAAACGATGAAGAGAGAGTTTTAAGTATGATTTTAAGTTTAAGTATGATAAAACGAGAACTAAGGACATTTGTAGAACATGAGCCAGAAATGGGTCTGCTCTTAAACAAATATTTTCACCAGCAGGCAGAAGGCAGTAAAGAAATAGCCTTAAAGTTCTATGTAAATCTCCACATTGGGGTATATGGAGCGTATCACAATGCAGCGCCTGATCTGGTTCGGCTCGCAAATGTTGTAAGTACGGACGATGAAGCTCTGCGAAGAAAGTGGTCGAAGCAAAAGCCGATGGATAACAGCGAAGGGTCCAAGTTGTAGATAACATATCCACGCTTGTCGTAAAAACGCAGAGGAGTTTGCCGAAGACTGTTCAAGTCGACCATCGGCCAGTCGATTGGGTTGTAATAATAGCTAGTAAAAAGCACAGCAACCCCAATAACAATGTCAGACTTCAAATCATATTCATTCATTCAATCACGTCTACAATTGATAGTAAAGTCATCTCTCTACCAGCACAAGTCGCTCGTCATTCTCGTCTTAGTGTATCAAGACAACAGAGCTTCTGCTTAAGTCAACGAATGATGCTATCTATCGGGTTATGGAATGGACCAAGCCAATCACATATCTGCTCGGTGACTCTTGGTCCACTTCCAAACTTAATTCAAGCCATAGAAACGATTTTTTCGAATCGATCGGTCCTAGGTACTATTCCTGGAAACAAAAGTGATGTTCCTGCTAAACTAAGCAAAAGGATACCTGAGTATCAAATTTCAAACACATCGAACTATAAAATCAAATTTTCGTCCGCTTCCGGGGGAGAAGTGCGGTCTTCCTGTCAATCTTAGCAAAACGTCACTTATTTTCCGAAATTCAAGTAAATTGAAGAGTCTTCCTGTGAAATTAATCACAAAGCTACATAAGTACCGAATTTTAATTAAATTTTATATATTAGATTGATGTTGATCGGATCAAGAGTTCAACCTGACCTTCCGAGTGGAAGGCACAACCTAAGACAACTCAGTAAGTACGGTATTTTGCAAGATTGTGAGCGAAGGAAGTGTTCTTCGGCTACCGAGCTATTGGTTTTTGCAGACAGACTTAGAAAATTGGCTGGCCATGCCGTCAAAGAATGTCGTACATATTATTAGGGATCAGGTCTCCTAATAAAATTATCAGTCCATCTAATATTGTTTTGTTTCTTATGGGTAAAACTAAAATTGCTTTGTGGGCCTTAGTAATTTTTCAGCTGAAATCGGTCTTAAAACGGTTTAGACCTTCGGTATTTCAACATTGAGGAACTTTGATAGTTTTCAGACGATTTTAACACACGAACAATATTTACTTAGGATATACTTTGCCATTTATTTCGAATCAGTTTTAGAGCACAACGTTGATTAAATGATCTCCTTCATTCGATACACAAAAAGCAGTTCTTTCCCGTGCATTCTGCATAACATTGGCCATCTGTTTGCCGCCAATTGGAAATACCAAGTATTTCCAGGTCGTCACCTGGTATTTCCAACGAGATTGAGATCTTCCTCTCCGCCCACCTTCACCGGCGGTACTGCATCGGAAACTTTCAAAGCTGGATTATTCTTAAGCATTCGGACCACATGATCTAGTCAGTGCAGTTGCTGCCTCTTGATGCAGTATTCACCCTTTCCAATGCGCAGAGTACCATGAATCTTACGCAAAACCTTTCTCTCGAAAACTCCAACCGCCAACTCATCAGATGTCATCGTCTACGCCTGCGCGCCGTATAGCAGGACGGAAAAGGTGAGTGACTTGTACGAGTGTGGTTTTCGTTCGTCGATAGAGGGATTTACTTTTCAATTGCTTACCCTGTCGAAAGTAGCACCTTTTGGCAAGGTTGATGCTGCTTTGGATTTCAAGATTGACATTTGGAGCTGATGTGTGCACCTCTTGCAGCTCTTTCGATGCCGACTGATATGTAATAAAAATGTTTTGCGTCCTCTCTAAAATTTCAGTACGTTTTTTTCCTTTTTTTAAAAATTCCATCCCAATGTGCTCCATAAGCTATTACAATTTTTTATATACAAATTTCTTTCAAACTCGTAAATGTCAATTTCTTCTCAGAAAAAAAAGCTGGAAATCAAATTTCTTCAGAACATAAAATTTCAACTGTCTGATTTCAAAAATAAAAATTAATCCATAAAACCAATTTTAAAAAAATAAATTCTATTATATTTTTTAAGCAAACGCAAGAAAAATATTGGACGTTGAAATTGTTTATTAAATTATAATTATATTAAAACAAAGCAATATGCAGGAAGTAGCAGTGCTGCCTTGGGAGAAGATTGCTTGGAGTGATGAGCACGTGCAACTAATCTATCGTGATTGGGGACTCTTCTACACACACAAACAACAATTGGATATCGCTGCCAAATATTACGATAAATCGTTGGAGTTGAAGGAGGACGATTCGCGAGCACTCTACTTTCGCAGTCAGTGTAAACGGAACATAGCTCAGACGCAGGGCGCGCTGGAGGATGGATTAGCAGCGGGAGGTATATAGCATTTCCAAACTGAAGAGTTATTTTTTTATTAATTTTATTTTTATTTTTATTCTCTATTTCTTGTAAATTCCTTCTCTTTCTTTCTTGCTCTCTCTCTCTCCACCTGCCCCAGCCATCGAACCGAATAATGCACCAATAAATCTCGAGATCTGTGATGCACTCTACGAGTTGAATCAATTTGAAAACTGCAAAGTCGAGCTACACGATAACACACATAAATTTTATGGCAAAAAAGTGTCAGCTTTTCAAAATCGTTTAATTGTGGTTGATGAAAATTTCAAAGACTCAATTGGTGAAACTCTCGGTCCGTTCATATTGCGCAATGAGAAGATATTCGCAAAAGTTTTGGAACAATTCGAGCGTGAGAAATATGTCGATCCGCGTCCGTTGTGGAAAATCTTGCGTGAGCAGGGCAAATGCGATGTGTTGAGCGTACTCGAAAAGGAGGTGTGCATTTAGTATAAATACCATATAAAAGAGTTCACATATTAAATACTACATTCACAATTTTCTTTAATTCCCAGGAAGTACTGCTATCGCCACGGGAGATCGCTAGACGTGAACGCGCCTTTAAAGTGTTCAATCAAATTTATTACAATAAAAGTTGGATTGATGTGCTATTTTTAAAGGACCTACGCGATAATATGAATTTGTTATTGCCACAGTGTAAAGTATCCACACCCTACTTAAGACATCTGACGAATACAAAATATGAGGTGCTGAAAAAATTTTTGGTAAGATACCCGGATGAGCTATCTGCTATCGGTATTTTGAAGCTCGCTCGAATTTCGTCACGAACTACCAACTGTTAATACTTTTCTTGCAGACCTTTCATGACATTATTTTTAGAAAAAATTATAATTTTGCTTCCCTTGGAACTTTGGCTGATAAAAAATGCAATTATTAGTTGCCTGCTCGAACCACCATTTTCTAATATTTTGTGTATAGACCTAACCCCTTACTTACGGTCTGCCCATATCCAGGCTTTTCTTGATTATTTTATTTTATTTTAATTTAGTTTACTCAATTTTTTTTTTAATTTTTATTTTATTTTATTTTATTTAATTTCTGATTATTTTATTGTATTATTTTTTAATTTATTTTATATTACTTTATTTTATTTTACTTAATTTTTTAATTTTTTTTCTTTATTTTTCTAAGTTTAATTTTATTATATTATGCTTTGCTATATTCCATATTATTTTGCTTTATTTATTTTGTTCCATTTTATTTTAATTTGTTTTACTTTGTTTTATTCTTAACTATTTAATTTTATTTTCATTTATTTTAGTTTATCTTAACTCATTTTAGTTAATTTTATTTCAATTCATCTTAAATTTTTTATATAATATTATATTATTTTAATTAATTTTTTTTTATTTATTTTTGTTTATTTTAGTTCATATTATTTTCTTTCGACTATTTTATTTTCTTTAATTTGTTATATTATACGAGGTGTGTTCAAAAAGTATTGCGAATTTTGAATTATCGCGGGTTACGTACGAGTATAATCGAATTTCGATTTTTTTGTGGCGTTATGTTGGTACTCATCTCTGTCACTTATGCCGACAAGCTTGGCCATTTTGAATGTTCACTTAATTGTTGACAGCCGCATTGCATGAACGTGTTTTGGATGGTCTTCGATTTTTATCTATTCAAAATAATGGATCAAAGAACCTGTATAAAATTTTGTGTGAAAAACGAAATTAAGTGCGCGGATGCATTCCGAATGTTGACTGTGGCATACGGAGAAGCTACCTTGGACCGAAGCAACGTTTATCGGTGGTACAAAATGTTCTCAGAAGGCCGAGAAAATGTGAACGACGAAGAGCGTGCCGGACGCTCGAGCACTTCAACAACAGACGAAAAAATTAATTGCAGGTGGTGCATCATGAGTTCTTGCCACAGGGTAGAACAGTCCATAAGGAACATAACCTGCAAGTTATGCGCAATTCGCGCGAAGAACCACGATAACGCCCCTGCTCACACATCGCTGCTTGTGCGCGACTTTTTGGCCAAAAACAACACACAAATGATGCCGCAGCTACCGTATTCCCCAGATCTGGCCCCCTGTGACTTTTTCTTGTTCCCTAAACTGAAGAGGCCCATGCAAGGACGACGTTAGACGATTGACGAGATAAAGAGGAGCTGAACAAGATAAAAAAATGATTTTTTGAAGTGCTTCGAAGATTGGAAAACCATTGGCACAAGTTTATAATATCTCATGGGGACTACTTTGAAGGGGCCAAAATCGATATTCATGAATAAATAGATTATTTTTGATAAAAAACACAAAATTCGCGATATTTTTTGAACACACCTCGTATATTATTTTATGCTATTTTATTTTATCTTATTTAATTTTTGCATTTTTTATTTTAATTCACTTTATTTATATTTCTTTTATTATATTTTATTTTATTTCTTTTTATATTATTTAATTTTTTTTAATTTAATTTTAATTTAGATATTTTATTTTTTTAATTTATATTTTATATTATTATGATTTGCTTTATTATTATTACTCTTTATATTATTTTATTTTATTTTATTTTATTTTATTCTGTTCTAATTTAATTTATATTATTTAATTTTATTTTATTTTATTTTATTTTATTTTATTATGATTTACTTTATTATTATTACACTTTTTATTATTTTATTTTATTTTGTTTTAGTTTGTTCTAATATATTTTATATTATTTTATTTAATTTTATTTTATTTTATTTTATTTTATTTTATTTTATTTTATTTTATTTTATTTTATTTTATTTTATTTTATTTTTTTTTAATTTTATTTTTTTTTTTCATTTTTTTATTTAATTAATGTATTTTATTTCACTTTATTTAACTTTACTTCATTTTTTTCTATTTATATTATTTTATATCCTATAATTTTATTTTAGAAAATGCTGCAAGCACGTAGTCCACTTTACAACGAACAAATGCGCAAATGTCCCGATAAAAAGGTTTGGGAAAAACACCGTCAGGCACATCTGAATCACATACAATATCAAACACGCCGAAATATGCTTACGATATTACGAACTATACGGCAATTACGAGAAATGGGCAAAATTCATGTAAGTTAAATAATAAGTAAATTATTATTATATATTTTTTTATTTAGTAAAATTTTTATTAAAAAAACATTTCACAGAAGCTCAGCAAATACGTCGAGGAAGTTATGGGCGATTACGTTGTGTTGAAAACACATCGTGTTATGCCGTGGAAATTCGAATTTCTTAATGAAGTCTACAACACCCTTGCCTTAGCCTACACTGATCGCTATATTAACCCGACGGAACTGTATCCGGCCATTGAAAGTAAAAAAACTCTACTCCAACTACTTCGTGTGCCAACCGATAAGAATAAAGATCGTGCTGTCACATTTGTGTTTGGCGATAAATCAACGTATCAAGAACCAGATGCTACGGATTATACAATGATTGCTTACAAGTAAGTGGAAAGGGGTGAATTTGAAGGGCGTTCCCTGTAAGGCTGGGAGGTGAAAATACTTTAGTTCATAGGAGGATTAGAGGATAAAGTCTTTTATATATTATACTTTAATGTATTGACGCTCGCGTATTCGATATTAAGTAAGAGAATAAGTTTTTTGTGGCCAACTGTGTATAGAAAATACTGATTTTTTGTATTTTTGGGAGTAGAAATAAAAATTTGTTCGAAATATCAGGTGTGGAAATATATTTTTAATATTTTAATAAAAATATTTGTGAAAAAAATCTTCAGAAAAATTAGAATTTCGACGATCTAAAGAAAACCTAATTTATTTGCATATTAAAATAGGACTATACGACTCTTTATTTTCTTACATTTACATGTACATATGTATGTACATATATCTCCTTCCAGAAAATACTTAGCCCGTCTGGAGAAACGCATATATTTTGCAAAATATTCCATTGAGAAATGCTATCTGCTACACGAAATTGCACGAAGTCACTTGGGACAGAGCCGATTCGATGAGTGTTGTTCTGTAGCGCGCAAAGCCATTGAAGGTTTGTATGCTAGAAGCCACCCAGAGGTAAACCACATGGAAAATAGATAAATTCAATTTTTTTTCCCAGAATCGAAGAACTGCAATAGCAACATATGGCGCTTTCTGGCCACCATACTGATCTGCAAATCTCATGCGATACTGCATAAAGTGGAACGTGCCAAAGAGATACTCGACGAAGCTTATGCGGTAACACAAGCTCTAAATAGTAAAGCTTTACTAACTTTTGTCGATAATTGTCGACATATGAATGATGCCGAGTTGTCGCTGAAGAAGCGTTCGCAATCCATGGAGTCGGTGCGTAAGCGTAGAAGTAAAGTGTCGCTTGATAGCGATCGAAACTCACAAAACTCTCAGCACAGCATTGATACGGTGGGAAGTGGACAGGAAATTTAAATAAATTTATGCATATGTAAATATGTTTATGCAAAATTTAGTAGAAAAAAATATATATCTTCTGTCAAAAAAATTTAAAAACTTTTAATTAGCACAATTAGTGTAAATATTTGTACAAATACGATTATTTGTCGTGTGGAAAAATATTTAATTTCCAAAGTAAATTTGATCTTCTCATAATTTTTAACATGATTTTTTCATTTAAAAATATTTTATGTGAAAAAATTAATATAAAATTTTTAATATAAAAAAAGTATCAAGAAATGGAAATTAATTTAAGTTTTCTGAATTTACGAATTTTTCGAATGAAATAATTTCAATAAAAAATGAAAAAAATTCAATACCCAAAAAAAATAAAATAAACAGAAGTGCCAACTACTCGAAACTCGTTTATGTGTTAAACTCAAATATTCACACAAAACTTTAGATATTTAAAAGTCGGTTAAAACTCTAAAAACTAAAGATATGTTCTAAAGTCAATATTTGTTTGTGTGTATATGTATATGTTTGGCGCTTTGTAACCGCTGAAACGATTTACCACCGAGTTCCTTGTTTTATGTTTAATGCTAACATTTTTAACTGAATTTTATACCACAAAATTTTCTTAATAAAAAGATTCGGTTGAAAAATTTGTCCCAAAAAAAAAAAGATACAAAACAAAAGTATCAAGTTTTCAAAATATTTTACTTTTGCTAAAATTTTTACCCAAATTTTGAATGTGAATGAAAATGAAAAAAAAATCATGTGAGAATTTACATCCAAAAAATTGAAGAAAAATCGAAATTTGTTTATATTTTCGTTAAAAATTTTCAAATTTTTTTAGAACATTTTTACATGAGAAATTTCTGAGATAAATTCTAATATGCTTTGCCCGGTGCCAAAAAGGTATCGGATTCATTATATCAGGGCATGTTGTTAAATAAATTTTATCAACAACAAGAAAAATGTTTTCTTTCTTCGGAATTTGTAAGCGGTTGCTGTAAATGCCCGCTGCGCTCAACTTAGGGTCAACATTATCGGCCTACTCAGCGTACTATTCGCAACACCAGCACCCATCTTGAGACCCAGCATTCATTATTGGATAAAATTCGACCGAATAGACTCAGTTCAACATACAGAGAAGAAAATATAGCGGCCGCAGCTGAAAGTATACATGAAGACCTTGTAGAACGTACATCATACAGCTGGTGCAAGAACTAAAGCTGCTCGACCCTCCCAAGCGACAACGCTTCGCTCCAAGGGCTCTTAAGAAGTTCTAAGAAGTTGCGACGTTTTCGAACCAAACTATGCGCAGCGATGAGGCCCAATTTTGGTTCAATTAGTATGTAAATACGCAAAATTGTCGCATTTGGGACGAAGAGCAACCGGAAGAGATTCAAGAACTGGCAATTCAACCAGAAAGAACAACGCTTTTGTTGTGGCTTGTGAAAAGGTGTAATCGTTGGCCCATATTTCTTCAAAAATGCTGACGGTGAGAACTTACCCGTCAATGGCGAACTGTATCGCCCCATAACCGACTAGTTGAAGCCTGAAATTGAAGCTCGTGATCTCGGCGATATTTTGTTTCAACAAGACGACTCCACACATCGCATTAAACAATGAACTTATTGAAAGAACATCTTGATGAGCTGATAATTTTACGTTTTTGGTCGATCAATTGGTCACCAAGATGTAGCGATAATATACCGTTAGACTTTTTCCTCTACGCATATGCAAAATCTAAGCTCTATGCGGACAATCCCGCGGGTCATTCGCCAATTACCAATCGAAATGCTCGAACGAGTTATCGAAAATTGAACTCAACGGATGGACCATCTGAGACGTAGCCGCGGCCAACACATGAAAGAGATAATCTTCAAAAAAACAAATGCCCAAGAATGTTCTTTTGAGTGATATTAAAAATTACCCATTTAATTTGAAATTTCTGGGTTTTTCTTAAAAAAAATTCAGTTGATAACTGCTATACACAAAAACAAAAAAGAATTATCGAAAAATCGAAACATTTTAATTTTTTTTATTTTCACATGGAAAATTTGGATGAAGATTTTCAAACCAAAAGAATTGTCAAAAGATCGAAATTTGTGTTCTTTTTTTTTGCTTTCGAAAACTTGCTATTTCTTATAAGTATATATAATTGGCGCTTTATAACTGGTAAAACGATTTTGGACTGAGATTTCTTTATTTTTATGCAGAAATTTTCAAACGCACTTTTTTGCATGAAAAAAATTTGCACTGAGCAATTTGAAAAAACGAGTAAAAATATCGTTTGGTTTCCACTTCGTTCATTTCTATGTTGAAAATTTTCGTATTCTAAAAAATAAAGTTAATAAAATTAGTTGATTCATTCAAACATATTTTTGGTAAAATATAATTCTTCAAAAATATTCTGTTTTTTTTTTTTCAATCAATGCAGCATAAAGTAATATTTCGTTAATTTTTATTTGTTAATGAAATCCATATAATATAGTACATATATTTATTGTTAATTTTATTTTTTATTTTAATAATAGGTAAGTGCGTCGTCTAATTTCCTAAAAGTATGCTTAATTCAATTCAGTTATGTACTTAAAATGTTAACAATAATTACATTAAAATTTGTTTTTAATTTAATTTTATATGTATTTTTTTTTTTTTTTTTGATTTTGATTGGAAGGAATGATTCTGATGAAGTGAATTAATGAACGGTATCTTAATGTACTTTTATTCAATCTTATGAAATATGCCATAAAATATTTAAAATAAATGAAACAAATTAAATATATAGATATATATAAAAATTTAAAATTTGGTCTAGAATATATGCTTAAAGAAAAATTAGGTGGAATATAAAATTATATTACTAAAAGTAAATGAAAAAAATCAACAGCCTACACCTCAAGGACGTGTCGGCTTTGGTGTTCAATTGTAAAAGGAATTTTTTTTAAAGCAGCTCAACTCAAATTACGATGCTCTTCAAAGAAAAGTGTTTAGCAGGAATTTCTACCTCAAAAGACGGCAACAGACTCAGCACAAACTTAATGGGAATTATCATCAATAATTGTTCTTCTTTATTACTATCTTTACTTGAAAAGAATGGCATAATCATCCTCAGGATAATCGAGCGGAACTCGGAAATACAAATAGGCCTTCCGAGAACGCCGGCTTGTTTTTCGAAAACATATTTCGAGCATAATTAATGCACTCAAAACTAGTTTATGAAATACCCGTAGCCACTTAGACAAAAAAGAACGGAAACATGAAAGAACTTGGAAGAGAGTGAGAAAATAGAAAACTAAAGATTACTTATTATTGAGAGGTCGCCAACTGGGATATGCAAAAAGGTGATTTTGGTTCCTAGAAAACACAAGCGAAATCGGAAATCGATACGATTTTTTTATTCTGAAGACATATTCATCAACTTCATAATAACAAAAACACTTTAAACTGAATTATGGAATGAAATTTAAATAATTGACATTTTCTATTTGGCCTACCGCCTCCAAGCAGTCTAATACATTCAGCAAAAATCGCCTCGAGGAGTGAAATTTGATAATGATACAGATTATGCATGATTTAAAGATAATAACAATAATAATAATAATAGGTCCAACGAATACCCTTCACCCACCCAAACGACAAGAAGTTCGAATGCTCGGGCAGAACTTTGAAGCGCTTTTTCTTAAGTTTTCATTGTAACAAGGCTTAGAAAACGGTGCCGATGATAGCATAAAGTATATATGTCCGATCGAAAAAATCAAAGTGATCTCGCCACAGTCTATTCTATTTGAAAATAAAAAAGTTGAACAAAAACTTCTGCTCAAAAACTATTTTTTTGGCAACTTGAAGTGATTTCTTTTTTCAAAAAAATAATTTTCTTACAAACATCGAAAAAAAATTGGAGTTTTCCAACTTTCTTTCCGTATATAGATGAAAACTTAAAAAAAAAAATGTTTTTAAAATTAAAAAAAAAAATTGGTTCGACCGTTTCAGATGCATCACACGATCTGCATCACGCGACCTGCATCGCGGGACCTGCATCACGGGCACCGTTTCACGAGTTCAGACCGTTCATAAAACTCATCACTACATTGGTAAACTCCAATTTTTTCGTTTTCGTTTTTAAGGTTTCAATGTTCCATTATTGCATGAAAATTTTGGTTACCGCAATAATTTCCTTTCTTTTTGAAAAAAAAAATGCTGGAAAAACGCTTTTTTCGTATACTAAAGGAGACTACTGTCTCAAACGTTGTTGTTGTAGGGAGGAAGATTTATCGTAGAGTTCCATTGGAAATGTTTTATGATCCATATCAAGGAAACATGATAAATACAATATTGGTATCAGAAAAAGCGCATAAAGTGCTTTAGTTACAAGAGGGGTTTTTAAATTCTTTTGATTATCTTTTCACAAAGGCAAAATCAATAAAGTTGTACACTTTCTCGAGAATATAGTTAATACATGTATAAGGAGATGATTGGAAAAAGTCTACGCGAAAAGCATATTGTGTTACAATTCTGAAGGTTCAAAGGCTATGTCGTTGTTATCTCCCCAAATATTATAACTAAGCTGTCTATATCTGTCTGTAATAAAAGTCTTTCGTCGAACGAGGTAGGTGATATTTAAAATTTTACATCACCGGCATATAACCAGATATTTGAAAGCTTTACAACAGAAGATTTACTTATAAATAACGAAAACAGAATCAGCCCGAGATGACTACTTTGAGGAACTCCTTAAGAGAAATTAATTAATTAACTATAAAATAAAGTGTCCTCAACTACCAGATTGAGATACGAGGAAGCCCATTGGAAAAGTTTTGGCTTAAGCTGAAGGAAAATTCCTTGATGTCTCGAAAGTCACTATTCCTTTTGAAAATTTTTTAATTTAAAAAAGGACTTGCCCATGCTTTGAGTAATGGCTCAAAACTGATCAGAAACGGCAGTCAAAGCCAATAGGATACTATTTTAACTAGAGTGTTTATTTTTGGGGCAAAAACATTATTTAAATATAAGAAATACAAAACATTAATGTTAATTTTAAGAAGATGCACGATTCGAAAGAGGATAAAACGTTATTGGAAATTTCATAAAATGTTAGCTGGGTTAATGCAGGGAGGAAGATGGAAATTTATCAAAGCTGAGCTGTAATTTTTGAGAAAAAATTCCAAAATTAATTAAAAAAAAAGAAACGTTCTGCGAATTTAAAAATGTTTTTTTTTTTTGCAATAAATCTGATAGTAGAAACAAGCAAAAAATAATAATATACGATAATAAAAAATTAAGTGTACGAAAGTATAAAAAATTTAAATTTTTAAGGGGTCTAAAATAAAAATTAAAAAAAAAATTAATTAATTAATATTTAAAGAAATATTAATAAATACAATTCTGGGAGAGACTTTAATTTCAACTTGTGGTCTTCAACGCACTCTACATACACACTTAAAGGTGAATTAAACGAATTAAGTAACAAATATAAAATCCTTAAGCTCACTACGTGAGCCAATCTCAATCTCAAATACAATATTAACAGCTAAATATATAACTATGTAAACTTAATAAATATGTTAATTTGAGTTAAATAGACGCAAAATTAGTTCAATTAATATGCAACACACACACACAAACACATGTGTACATATGTATGTATTATGCATGCTAAATAGTTTTTTTTAATTAATTTACTAATTTATTTAAATTTATATTATTTATGTGCACATGCATACGCAATTTACGTACATATATGTATGTATATGCATATCTAATCATGTATGTATGTATATACTCGTATTTATATTTATAATTAAACTACAATATTTATTGAAAAAAAAAACAAAAATTAAAGCTTTGTATGTTTAACGGTGTCCGTCCAGTAATTTTGTATTGTCATCGCCTCCAATGAATTGAGAAATGAATCATTATCCAAACTATACATCTCATCAGAATTATCCTGTAAATCATCAAAAGAAATTAACTTTATTGACGCAGACATACAATACACATTGCCTATGTAAACGATTCCTTACACTTACACGCATCGTGCTATCATCAATGTAGACACTCGAATCGGGCTCGCTCAACGCCTGCGGTTTATTGAGATATCTACGGCGATAGAGCACTATGCCAATGGTGCCCATGGTGCAACAAACCCCGAATATGGTGAAACAAATGGCGGATATAGCGCCGGCGTCCAGGAAGTAGGTGCGCTGCGGCGTATAAAGATAAAAAAAAAATAAAAATATTTTATTTTTTATTTACTTTTTTATTTTTATTTTTCAACCCAATCCAACTGACCTGTATCGAAAGCGCCTCCGAGGAGATATTACCCTCTTCACCGCCATCGAAATCATTGGGCGCTGTGGAAGCGCTACGCGTCAGCAGACTCTTTGTATCCGATGAGTAATTAATGAAGCGATTAATGTGCTTGTACTCAGCTGAGAGTACTTTCGATTTGCGTGAACGATGCTCGTTTTCGGCACGTCGCAATTCTTCCTCTTTATTGGCATTCTCCAATGTGAAGGGTATGCGTTGTTGTGTCGTCACCGCGCCGGCTGTGTCTACAGCCGATTCTGTTGGCCCAGTGACCACTTCACGGTCGATTTCGGTAGCTTGTGGCATATTGGTGAGTAGCTTGGGCACCGGCAGTGCTGCTGCTGCTGCCATTGCATTCAACCACTCCAATGTGTCGGAGTGTCTGGCATCCAAGCGGGACTTTGTTGTTACGGCAGACGCAGTTGAACTGTTTAAACGTGTTTTGGGCGCATCCAAAGGGCGCGTTTGCGCTACGGTACTGTTGAGCTCGTGTGCTGCTGTGGCATTAGTTCTGAAGAGAGAAAAAATAGTGAGAGAGAGTTAGCTTTTAAACTATTTGCTAATATTTTATTTTCTTACTCACCTGACATCTGGTTGGCTACGAGTGTGGTTAGTGTAATTGCTCATTTCCACTTCAACACGTTTCAATTTCTCTGTGTCTTGCTCGTCTGCGAGAGGTGCTGATCTTTGTTCGGTCACTACTGCGGCGACGTGTGGCTCCTCAAAACTTCCATCATCATCATTCTCATCTACGTCTTCTTTAGAAGCTGCTAACGTTTTATTGAAACCCTCTGCAGATCGTTTATAGTCTGCGTCCTCCGCACTGGGTATATTTTCGTGTTGACTCTCATCGTCTACAATATTATCTTGCCTTCGGGCTGCCAGTTCCTCTAACTCGCCTTCAGGCTGCTCTGGTATGAGTTGCTCGTCCACCTTCTCGCTATGCGACTCTTCCTCGGCGCTTTCGGCACTATCGTCTAATCTCTCTTGTTGTATTGACTCAATAATTCCTGCTTCTTTGTCTCCATCGTCCGTATTCGCTGCCGCTACAGGTGCTGGCGTAGTTGCAGTCCATGCTGGATTTGCCGTTGTCTGTTGTTGTAGTTTTGTAATTGCTTTCACCGTTTTACTATTTTGATTGTACTCTAAGGAAATCTCTTGACTGGGATATGTTTGCACGAATGTTATGCTAAGAAGGACAGCTGAAAGAGGGAAGAGGGAAAATTTCATTAATTTTCATGAAGGCAAGTCATTTATGTTTAGATATGTATGTACGTATGTATGTATGTACTCACTGCTCAACGTTGTTATCCAGAACCAATGGGACCACCAATAGAAGGTCATGATGTTACGCGTTGTATGATTTTGTTGAGGAATGCTAAAAGCGAGAGAAAAAAAAAAAACAAGAAAATCAAATTAGTCTTTGACGAATTTAGAAATTTAAAGAATTAGAAATAAAACGTACACGGCCGAAATATAAATACAAAGAACTGACTTGATTTCAGAGTCTAGAAAATTTAGAATTCTGAGTTTCCTTCGCAATGAAACTAAATGAGGAATCGGGTTTGCCCGCTATCAGCGCCGACACTTGCCCCGATTAGGCAAGTTTTCAAGAATATTTTGTTATCTGGTGGGTTGGATAAAGACGAGGTTGAGTACCTGCCTGCTTGTAGCCCAACCTCAACCATTAAGTATTCCAGTCTTGCTCCATACGTATTCCAACTATACGTTTGCGAATAGTTTTTTTTTTTTGATTCTATGAAATTTTTCGGCTTCATTTAACCATATGGGACCATCTTAGTTGGACTGTAGCAGATAGTATCGTAAAAGATATCGGCAAAAGGTCAGACCCCACAAAAGATAATTTGTTGTTAGGAAGATTATATATCATATGTAGAAGCCATGTAAATGTGCATATCAGAATATTGAGCTATCTATTGTGCAATTTAAGGGAACTCTTTACAAGTTGTCGTTGTGAATCCCTCGCTGTAGGCTCTGTATCAACTCAAAGAAGTTAAAGCGGGTCACTTTAGAAGGAGTTTGCCATTTGTATGAGAAGAAAGCAAGTTCCTTGAGGTGATTTTAATAAAGTGACACAACTGGAAGAAACCCGCACATGGCTCAAAGATACGAAACGGAAATACTATTATCACTCTCTATATTGTCAAAGAGTTGTCGGTAAAAAAATAAAGTCCTGGGATCTGTGGCTGGATTGTCTTGTCCTTGTTAAACCCAAAACCTGAAATTCTTAAGTATACACACTTTAATCTTATCCGTAAGGTTGAAAAAATAGTGATCGTAACAAATATGACCCTCCGGTTGAAATCATTGCACCATCATGGTTTAAGAGCCAGCAAGAGTGCTATTCAAAATGCTAGACCACTGTATCGTGTTTCTGGTCCCTCCATATTTTTAAAACACATTAGGACTGTATACTCAGGGAGATGTATCTCCATCCCCACAGACACTCAGGCTCTAAAATCGGACTGGACTCTCATAGATCTCTCCGTTAGATGGCGTAATGGCACAGAATATCACTATTTTGGGTAGCCGGTCATAGAGTCATAGAGTAATTCTATCCGGGTAAAAAGCACATTGGAACGCTTCTCTCCACAGGCAAAATGTTATCACCGAATCTATTAATAGGCAGGCCACGACAAAGTGCGAACAAAGTGTTCTGCGGCAAGTTAAGGAAATCGCGTTCGATATGGGGTCGAAGGAGAACGTATAGATTATATTTTGAGAAAAAGGCGGACATTTCAAAGATAATTGGGATCTATACAGTAGTATACTTTTCAAAGGCTGAAGGATCTAAGATATGTTATTTTACAGCTCTAAGTTGAAGTAGACCTCGGCGTGTCGAAGCTAAAGTAGTTCAATTACTAAAATTCATTAGATAGTCCAGGTGCTCGAAACAGGCAGTACAAGGTAAGAATAATCCTTTTCCTAATCAACTCATTTTTGGCCTAACCCTCAGAGTTAAAATATTCTACTAAGCGAAATTCATTCAACAGGACAAATTCAGTCGATTTTTCCCAAATTTTTCACTTTCAAATGATCTCTTGGCAAATTTATGACCCAAATTATAAAATCTGAGAAATCGGTCGTGTATATATGCTATAAGGGACTGTTCTCGCTACTTCGGAGCATGACTTAATCTACGCAACTCGTCATTAAGACCCGATCGGTATAAATTTGTATACCTCTTTATTTTCTCCTTCTGGTACTCACATACTTCTTACTAAATTTAATACATCATTTCATGTTAATGTATATGGTATACAAAAAGAATGTCATATTAATTCGAAATCCACTCGGGAAGGCGCTTAGAATACAAATTTTATTGTAAAGTAACAAATCATGCATTATTTTTTCAGTAGACCGCTTCAGTGATCTATATCCAGCGCTCTATAAGTGAGATTGAACTGCGTTGGGTGGCGTTACAAAGATGGTATTTTGTACTGGGAGAAAGATAAGATCGGCTATGTTCTACAACCTTCCTTCGATAAAGGTGAAAACACAGGTCAAGCAGCTGAAAATTATGACAATTTTTTCTTCGTCGGTTTCAGCGGCGCAGAAGACCAACATTACTTCAATCGCCCAGGAGCTAAACATTGCACAAAAAAAGGTGGCTTGGAACCACTTAAAAAAGACTGCAGCTCGACGTATGGGTGCCAGAAGTTGGTAAGAAAAAAGTTATGGACCGAATTTTCATATGTGAATCGTAACAAAATCGAATTTTGACTAGTGATTAAAAATAGATCATTTACAATAACGTCAAATGAAAATGGTCGTGTACGAAGGGCAATGAGCCGGCATTAACGGTATACAAGCCAGGATTGATGGTCATGAAGGCTTCATTGTGTGTTTGGTGGAATGGAGCAAACGCCAAGAAGCACCCAGCGGTCAACAGTACAGATATAAATCCAGCAATTCTATGCACAAATAATGGATGACTCGTTACTTGACCTAATACAATATGATTTTTTTCGTGCATTCATTCAATCTGGGCTTCAGATATCTTTTTCATTTATATTTGTTATATTCCACCTGAATATCAGTTTAAATTGAAGAAATGAAAATTGAGCACCAAAATTGTATACATTTTCATATCTCGTCTTTTGCATCTTTGCCATTATTATTACCATATTTCCGTTTTCCGCTTCGTGGGAGCATTTTACGCATGCGTTGTTCACAAAAGATGACCTCCAAAATAAACTAATAATTTTCACGAATTTACATTAAAAATGCATGATGTTTTTAAATTTTGTTATTGTTGCATGAATAAATATATATACATATAGCGAAGTACCTGTTGTTTACTCATGAAATTATATATTGTATTTCCTTTCTGCATTACATTGAATTAATTTGATTTTAAATTTTTAGTTCAAGTTCAGGGTCAACAAAAAATGTTGGAATTAAATAAACAAATTATAAATATTTAAAAATAAAATAAATTATCATTAAAAATCATGTAAAAATATAGAGAAACTATTTACCGGGTATATGGAAGAATAATTTTTAAAACAAATATTATGATTTGCCATCGCTTGGGAAGTTCCTTAGAGAAGTCCAAAAAATTCCAAAAAAAAAAATTTATCAAGCCAAGTGACTTCTCAATGCTGAGCGATAGATTAAGGGGAATAATAAAGAATTCATTCATGAATTCATGATCAATTTATTGAAACTCTGCTGTTTACCTGCTGTAGGCTCGACCAGTTTTTTATTATTAGTATTTTTAAAATGATTACCAACAAACATATTGAAAACAGTTAACACCTATATTAATGATTAAGTGCTGTTTATGTTAGCGTGCTTTATTGTTTATTTTTTTATTAACCCAACTGATAGCAATAATTAAATTCAATTTATGAAATCATTACATCGTCAAAGTATGTCAGACTTCAGATTTAGATGATGCTGTCTTTAGAATTATTTTCAGTTCCATTCAGATTTGCATTCAGCATTTATATACATATATACAAATAATTTTCCTTGTAACGATTTCCCTCCAAGTGTCAATTGAAAACAATTAATTTTAATGTCATGGGAAATTGCTACCGTAACTAACATTAACCCCGAAACCCCGCCTCGCTGGGCTTGAATGAGGCCACGAAAATCCAAAGGTGGCAATAAAAGCTGCGAAATCATGCAAATCTCACGAGAATGGTAGAAGTTAGAAAGTGAAAAACTATAAAGAGAAGACATAAGTATTATAACACTGAGACTCAGTGAAATAAATTGAAATTAAATAAAAAAGAACAGAAAGGTCAATCCAGAAGGGAAAATCAAAAATGGCTTTAGCAAAATAAAGTAAAATAATAAATACAAATCGGCTTAGTATACGCTGAAGGTGCCTTCATTTGTCGGAAAAAGATCAAAACGCAGAAACCACAAATTGGAAGAGAAGCTCGGTTAATAGAATAGTCAAAATTAAATAAACTCAGATAAGATAAATTAAAATTAAATAAAAAATAGATAAAACAATAAATAAAATGCACAATAAAATTATGAGATGAAATAAACTAAAAAAAACACCACCAAATGATGTTAAATTGAATTGGCACAAAATTAAAAAAAAATCCAATATAAAATTTACTAATATTTGCTAAAATAAAAAAAAATAACTAGAATAAAATAAAAGAAAAATTAAATTAAATCTATAATGAGAGAACATATTACAAAATTAAAAAAAAAATTTACAAAATAAAAAAAATATAACTAAAATAATTTTTAAAAATAATAAAAGGACAAATAAAATAAAAAAATTTAATTTATTAAAAAAAAATTCACATAACAAAATAAAGGGAAATAAAAATTAAATTAAATATAATAAAGTGAATATAAATAAAATAAAATCAAGCAAAATTAAATTTAAAAATGTAAGTTAAATATAATAAAATAATATATACATTAATTTATTACAATAAAGTGATAATGGTGCAGTAAAAAAAACTATTTCATTACAAAATTACTCCATTTACGTTTTGGCAGAAATCCTTAAAAAATAATCTGCGCAGTTGTCGACAAACTTACAGCAGCAGTTAAATTTTTTAGCAAAACTGTTTGTATGCCAAACTGCAAAGGTAAGAGAAACTTAACATTTTATGAACTTTGTAACCAAAATAAGACACATCTTAATCTGCCTGCCTATGGCTGAAGACGGGACAAATGGCATGCAAGTATTTTTGTGTATGCAAATATATGTTTTGTTGTAAAAAAATATAATATGAGTCAATTATGAATGACAAATAAAAGAAACGAGCCAGAGAAAAGATCAGCGGCTAAAAAGATGACACACAGCTTTGACGAAAATAAAGTTGAATTTGTATTATTCTTTATTTACCCGCATATGGAGATATGCAAATATATAAA